CACTAAAAGATGGCAGTCATTATTCTCCTGGCCACTTACTTCTGATACTTCATTATGAGGCTAAGATTTAAATCTGTTGAGAACTGAACAGCAGCACAGGGGTGATATCTAGCACTTAGATGAGGATGCTTCCAAAACAGAACATGTTCTTTTCCAGGCAAAATTTTCGGAGAAAATGTCCCTTTTTTTCCCTTCTCATATGTGAAATAGAATCCCAAGCCCTTCGTGGTGCACAGGATTCTGGGATAGTGTCTATGGAGATGAAGGAGACATTTCCAGTGGGATATGCTCTCTTCTCCAAACCCCAACTCAGCTACTGACTGCTCTTTAGTTATTCCCATCTCTTCCAGAGACAGGCATGGTGGTGCATGGGAGATGGCAGGAGGATGATCAGGAGTTCGAGGCCAGCTTGAGCCACATGAGACCCTGTCTCAAAATAAAACCAAAGAGAGGATTTCATTCCTCAGAAAATGGGGCTGGAACCGAAGTGCACTAGGCTCCGGTATCAGCCACTGGCCTCTCTCTTCCATGACCTTATCCCTTTGCTTGTCCTGGTAGTCTTAATTTTCATGTGGAGAACCATGGTGTTCTGTAGCTCTGACTCCACCCAGCTCTAAAGATGTAGGTCACTGCTCCCTTGGTGCATCAATTCATTCAAAACCAGATCACTCTTTTCTTTCCCATAGTATTTAGTTTGGCAATGGCAGGTGTTTAATGCAAGGAAGTTAGTTATTAGGGTTCCCACTGAGAATGCTCATTTCCTCTCAGATGTGAATAAAGAGGCACATAGACACAGAAACTGACAGTATCTGTCATTTTATGTTCTGGTTGTTTGTTTTAAAATATTTTACTTAACAGTCTTACTTGCATATAATGTGTTTGTTCAAATCCACCACTCCTTCCCTCCCGTTTCTCTTCTACCCCCCTTCTTCTCCCTCACAACTTTGTATTTTCCCTCCCCCTTCTTTCCTCAACACCTCGCTCCCTCTCTCGTCCTTTCCTCCCTCCTTCCCTCCATTCCTTCCTTCCATTAAAAAAATACCCACTGAGTCTATGTAGTGCTGCCTGTATGGACCTGGGTATTGGTCCATCTACTGGAGCATGGGTAGCTATTCAAGAAGAAATCACTGAAGAAAACTGACTCTACCCTCCCCTTTCCAGCAACCACCAATCACCAATAGCTTCTCACACAGGGGTGGGACTTCATGAGTCTCCTAGTACTCTGGCTGGGATTTTGACTGGCTTGATCTTGTACAAATCTTGGCATTCAGTTCCAGCCACTGTGAGTCCGTGTATGCAATTGCACTGTATGTATAATTCTGTGCTGAATCCATCTGGCCCTTGGCTCTTGTTGGCTGGGAAATTTTTAACTACTGCTATCTCATTGGTTGTTGTGTGTCTGTTTAAGTTATTTATTTCATCCTGATTAACTTTGGTAGATCATATACACTTAGAAATTGGTTTCTTTTAGCTTCTCCAGTTTAGTAACATGTAACTTTTTTCTTTCAAAATTGGAGAGCAGTATTATATCTTTTCCCCTTTTACATTTAAAATGAATTTTGTCGGCTATTAGAACTGATTATGTCATGATTATAGATAAGTAGGAAGAAGATAAATATCTGCACAGTGATATGCGCTGCCTTTCAATACCCAGCAGTGTTTTGGTGTATTGATTTTATGCTTTTAATTTTGTATATTGTAAGTACTTGATGTGATTTTCTGAACAAAGTTTGTCCTTATGATTTTCTGAACTTGCTCAATGTCTATTGTAATGTCTCACTTTTCATTTCAGATTTTATTCATTTTTGTCTTTTTCCTTTAATTTGGCTAAAGGTTTATTAATCTTTCTAAAGACTCAACTCTTTGTTTAATTGATTATTTGTATTTTTCCCTTTCCTTTTCATTAATTCTGCCTCCCTGATTTTGAATACCTCTTCCCCTCTGCCGTGTTTTAGGTATTGTTTGTTTTCCTTTACCCCAAACCTTCAGGCACATCATTAACTAATCTCCAACTTGTTCAAAACACGAAGAGAGAATTTCCTAGTTCATTTGATGAGGTCAGCACTACTACACTCAACTCTACACAGAAACACTACAAAACAAACAACAGGCAGAGCAACATTTCTTATGAACAATTGATGTAAAAAAAGTCTGAAGTGATGGCTCAGAGGTTAAGAGCACCTGTTACTCTTGAAGAGGACCCGGGTCCAGTGCCCAGAACCCAGGTGGTAGCTAACAACTCTAGTTCCAGAGGATCCTGTGTCTTCTTCTGACCTCAACTGCCACTGCACCCATGTGATGCAGACATACATTCAGGCAAAACAGAAACATCCATTCATAAAGAATAGAAATGATTGTTTTTTAAAAAAATCACATTCTTAGAAATAGATCTCAACAAAATCCCAGTACTATGTTGAGCAGCATTCCTTGGGGTGGGCTGGGCTGGGCATGGTGGTACATGGCTTTACCGCTGGCATTTGAGAGACGGCTGGGAGAGGATAGAAGGTTGGGGTCAGCCGGATGGCTCAGTGAGCAAATGCACATTCAGTGCAGACCAAACTCCAGTCTTCAGAAAGAACATCAAGCCCTCTTACCCTCTGCACCATCTCTCACCCCACCTTACTCCACGCCATTCTCACCTTCCTATCTCCTTCCTCACTCAGCATGAGTGCCTTCCTTTCCTATTTATGCTTACTGTCAATGCCCGCCTGACAAAAGTTTGGTGTCTCAGCCCTGCTGTTTCACCTGTTCACTCAGCTATTCTTTGTAATTTGGACATTGGGCACTAAAAGTAAGAGGAATGATAAATGTACACCTCCCAGCATGTATTCCTCCTTTCTTGTCACTAAATTCCGCTAGATTATTAATTTCCAAGTTTTGGGTGTCACATCCCCAGTGGAGTACTACCTGGAAACCTGCACAAAACACAGATCCTGGAGTCAGAAACCTAGAGGGTAAGCCTTACCCTAGAGGGTAAGGCTCAGTGAGTTCTGCCTTCCCAGCTCTTCCAGGGCATTGTGGCAGATGCTGAAGGTGGAGAACCATGGAGTCTGGGTTATTTTGCCTCCTACCGCATGGTTGATGTTTATTTTCCTCCAAGAGTTTTTAAGAGGATGAAACTGTGGGGCAACGCCTCTTCTTGAACTTGAATAGCAATACTTCAATGCATGATGCCTCTGTAACCACGCCTGCCTGCTGCCATCTCCGAATTCCAGGGCAAGAGCGGTTCTATTTTCATGAGTTGCAGCTGGTAGCAACCGGGAATACACTGCCCAGCTCCTGCTCCTGGCAACGGGAACAGTTTTCCAGCCCTTGCTGGCATCGCCTGCAATGACTTCTAGGAGGGAAAAAGAGCGGTTTCCCTCTTCAGAAGTCAGAGAGAAGGCAGGTGTGGTGGCAAACACCTGTAATCTAAGTACCCAGGAGACAGAGGAGGTTCAAGGACAGCCTTGGATTACATATGGGCTTGAAATCTCTTGGACTTGAAACCAACAGCAGCAATAAAAGTGCACTCAAAATCAAAACCTCCGCAATGGAAATAAGTAATTCCACCCAATCCTAGCACCCCATAAGCATTCTGTGTCTTTGACAGACAATGCTATCCTCCAAGACACCTGGTGGTTGTGGTTGTCTTTTACCCGCCGCACCCCCACTCTGGCAGCCCACCTGCATTCTCTCCTGTGGAACCCGCTCCTCAGGTGATAGTTTATTATCAGCCAGCCTGGCTCCCCCACTCGCTGCCTTCCTTCATCCAGCGTTAGTGTGCACTGCTGAATTCTTCTGGAGTAAGTCTGTGAATGCCACTCTGGTTAGGAGCCTAACACCAATGCTGTGCATCAAACCCTTATCCTGTCAGGACTCCTGTCCTCTGTAATCTGACCCCACTGTATCTTTGTATGCCCCTGGCTTCCCTCCCCCCAGGGTCATCCTGCTATCTGCAGGCTCCCATGCTTCCCACTGTTGGAACACACACTGGCTCCCAAAGGCTTTCAGTCACACCATGCCTGCTTATTTAAAGCCCGTCTAGCTCAAGGTTTGCCTTCAGGGAGATGCAGGTCAGGGCTTTCTCCAGACCCCAGATCTCTGCAGCAGTATCTTTGGGCCCGCCTTGGCCATATCCCCTTGTCCTAGTTATTATGGTTTCCCCCTCGTCCCGTTCAGTCTTGGCAGTATTGTGTTTGCTGGACTTCATTTTCCCCAAAGCCCCTGCAGCTGTGTCCAGACAAGTATTTACACTTGGGAAAGGTCCACAAGGGCTAAGTATTCAAGGAATTTTCAACATGTTTGTATTTTAATGAGCTTGCTTTCTAGATGTGCACTCTTGTTCCCGTAAGTGTAAAAGCCAAATCTGTTATAAATAACACACCTCATTATTTTCAGTATTTTGACATAGGAAGTGTTGGGAAAACAATCTTTGCATGAACATAGCTCAGCTGCTTCTGAAGAACTCTAAAAAAAGTACGCAGTGCCATAGATGGCTATCGTGAGCCATGGGAGAAAACTCAACATTATAGTAAATGCCTAAACCTTCTATTTTGCCATTGCCAAAAAAAAAAAAAAAAAAAAAATTACCTTCAATGGGCCCTTGAGAAAATTCCACTAGAATGTCCAAATATTTAAATTAAATTTGGGTAAATAATATTTTCATATCTTTTCCTTGAACTAAGATACAATGTAAAATTTTGATTGCCGTGTGCACATACATATGTGCATATCCCTGTCTATCTTCTGGCCTCTGAGGGCACAGGCAAACTCTTGTGCACGTGCACCTGCGCACATACAGTCATGCAGGTACATACACAGACATACCTACATACACAAAGAGAAAGCACATCTTAAAAACCGTACATTTTCATTTATTATGTTCGCCTAATGACTAAGCATTTTATACATCTTCTAAAGCAACTGAGCCATCTCAACCACTCAGTGGAATAAGAAAGAGTTAGGTATTCGTTAGGCATCTTTTGGAGACAAGTAATTGTCACTTGTTTTTCCTTCAGGTGGTTTGCTCTGCTAGAGATCCAAATATGTATTATTTTAGTGCTTTATACATATGACTGCAGTCTTCTGGACCCATTGCCAAAGCAGGTAAGTGCTCTTGGAGTTTCAAACATTATCATGACTTCAGAGTTGATGGACACTTTAAGCACATGGCCTTCAGTATAGTCATGTGTCGAGTGAATCCCTTAAATCTGACCGTGGCTCTGTAGAGAGAGATCTTGTGTAGGTGTATAAATGAACTCTTTGTATTGGATGTTGTCGTAGCCCTTGGTTCATTCAGAAGGTGACCAGATGCAAGGAAACCAACCCTGCTGTAAAGATAGTAAGCACAAAGGAAAGGGTTGAGCTATCTTCCCTCCCTCACCATTAAGGCTGTCCTCATTTAACTCTATGTAGGTGCAGGGGCTCCTGATGGGACATGGGCCTCAGAGTCCTGGATCCTCTGGGGTTTGCAAAGCATGGACTTTCAGTCTCCCCACTAGGATTCCTAATCCAATAGTTCTGGGAAATACTCCATGTTTGCATTCTAACAAGTTACAGGTGTGCCTGTTACCACTGGCAGCCTGGGTACCACACTTTAGAAACCACTGCTGTAAGGAATGAGGAAAAGTCCAATGTAATCCCAAATGTGGAACCTGGATGAACAGTGCTGTTTAAACAGATGAGCGCCATTCCCTATGGCTGTTTGTGTTTAATGTATGAGGAGTAACTCCTTGTGTTCTTTCAACGGAAATTATGTGTTTAAGGAGGTTGGAAATATGTTACAGATATATACACTTAGGCACTTCCCATTGGTTTATTTTCCATTTCTCTTTTTCCTACTTTTTAAAAATCTTATCAATTCTTTGAGAATCTCATATATTGTATTTTGATCATATGCATCCTCTTCCCTCACCCCCATTATTTACTGACCCAGCTTTGTGTCCATATTTCTTTTTTAAACCCCTTCAGGTCAGTTAGTGCTGCCTACATACCTTTGGGCGTGTGGCCATTCTTGGAGCACGTTAGACCTACCCAGGGGTTACACCCTTCAAGAGAACTGTCTTCTCTTCAATTACTGGTAGCTTCTCAGCTAGGCATGGGCTTTATACCCACCCCACCTCCATGCTAGGGTTTTGTCTATCTTGGGCTTGCACGGATCTTGTGCACACAGTCACAACTACTGTCAGTTCCTATATTCAACAGCCCCATTGTGTCTAGAAAGAGCTTTCTTATAGTCAGCCACTACCTTTGGCTCTGACACCCCCTTCCCTTCTTCTGGGGTTTCACATAAAACAATCTGATCCCATCCATCTCCCCTGACCCTTCATATCTGCCTTCCATCTTTGTACCCCCCAAAAAAAATTAAATGCAAAAGAAAAAAAAAACACAAATACCAGAACCAAAACAACCAAACTAACACACAACAACAACAGAAAAGTCTCAGTGTGGAAGCTGCAGTGTGACAGAGTCACACAGGATATATATCCTTCAGTCCACACATCTTTACGTGTAAGTGTTCATTGCAATGAATCCTTGGTCTGGTTCCAGGCCCCTGGCTTCTGCTACACAGTCAATCCTGGGCCCCACTGTTACTCCTCTTGGATATCCTGTTGTTGCCCTGTGTGTGTCATGGAGATCCTGCAGCGTGGATGGGCAGGCCCAGTCCCTTCCCGTGCTCCAGCAGTTCACGAATGAGGTGGATGTTGGGATGGGCGCTAACTCATAGCCCTGGTTCCGGGCCTAGGTGGTATCTGGGTTGGTCAGCCCACCAGCTTTCCCTCATTGACCCCAACAGGGAGAGTGAGTTCTCTAGCATTGCCCCAGCTAGCTCACCCAAAGCAGCAGGCAGCAAGGAGTGGAGTCAGTTCTCCTGCTCTCAAGCCTTCAGGGCCAGCTCACCTGCACTCACACCACCAGGACCGCCAGCTCTACTCTTTTCCCAGGAGAGGAACAGTGCTTCTTCTCCTGAGTGCTGCCTTTGGTGAGAGGCAGGGCCAGCTCTCCCACTCTGTGTTCCTGAGGCCAACTCTCCTGCCTGCCACAGGTGGCAAGGGACCAGGGTGGGAGGAAGGGCATCTTTCCCTCACTCATGCCAACAAATGGCAGATTGGGGGCGGGGGAATCAGCTCTCCTGCTCTCATACTCTCAGGGCCAGCTCACCTGTACCCCTACCTACAGGGTCAGCTCCACTGTGATGTCCAGGCGAGGTGCAGGGCCAGTTCTCCCAATCTTATGACCCAAGAAATAAGTATGATTTCATTTCTCTCCCATTATGAACCAAATAACAAGGAAGTACATCAAAGCTTTATTTAAGCTACATGCCACACCAGTGGCCCAATGTTGGCAGCCTGGCACCCAACCATGAAACGACTTCAATGTCAGGCACATATTTCACTGGTTCAGGTGGTTTTGTTCCATTGTAACATTTTTAGGGTACAGATACTTTAATGTTGGTACTCACCTCCCCCACAGCCCATTGGTCACTGGGCCAAGGGGCAAATTGGGCAGAAGTGGCAAGCAGGGCCTTATCCAACCTGTAACTACAATGGAGATAAGCCCTCTAGGAGGTAACTTCAGTGAATTAACTCAGCTTTATTCCAGAGTGTAGGGAACGCATAGGATTGGGAACAGTAGTTGGGGGGGTCACCTAATCTACGTTAAACAGCACACTCCTATATTAAGCTCCTAGTACAAGTCTTAGTTATTATCCGTGGAAGCTAGGTCCTATCGTAATCCTCCTACCACACTGTCTAATTACCATATAGGCAGCAGGGGGACAGCTCCTGCAGGGAACTGTGTCTAGGGTTACACTAGAGATAAGTCAGGCATCTGGGCCTCGAGACAGTCTCCAGATAAGGTCAGGTAGAAAACGGGATGCCTTCTGCCAGGGGGAAAGGAGTCATACATGTTTCCAAGCTTGGAGAGAGCTGTCAGCCCAGGTAGACTGCAACCCCAGAACAACAGTGCCTCCCAGGATCTTAGAAAACAAAATTTTGTGCATCTCTCACTAGAGAAGTGCATCCATCTTTATGTATAACTATGGGTTTAACTTCCGTGGGATCATGGGAACTATACAATCCATTCTACCAATGGAGCTAAGGAATCCACCATCCTGTGTACTGTTGTGTTCACCCTTGAAAATAAAATATAATAAATAATATAATATAATAAATTGTAAATTATAATAATAAATAAATTGCATCCCCCTCCTCCTTTCTCACTGTTCACTGGCCCGAAAAGCTCAGGGCTGACAGAGCCTTTTATGTCTCTAAACCTTAGGATTCTTTCTGTGGTTTTAACAGTACAGTGACACCCCTTCCTTTAGCCTGCAAACGCAAACATTCCTCTTTCATAAGGAAAAAACATCCACAAGTGATGGTCATGATAACAGTGTGGTTGTGGTCTGCCCACCAGCTGCAAGTAGTTGTCAAGCACCTGTTATAGGTGCCAATTTTCACTCAGTGGCTGAGTATAAATGGGTGTGAGGTCCAAGCTCCAGAGCCAGGAAAAGGGGGATTGTAGAGGGATTGGGGGCTGGAGAGGATGTAAGGATCATATACAGATAAGACATAATTACCAGCACATGGGTCAACTTGCATAGGCCACACACAGGTAGGCACAGGCACACAAGCTGACTCCCACGTAGAGTGTAGGTAGGGAGGTGTGTTAGTTGCTTTTCTGCTGTTGTGATAAAACACTATGTTGGGCTTATGGTTCTGGAAGGATAAGGGTCCATGACGGATTAGAGATGTAGCAGCAAGCAGCAGGCACGGCAGCAGGAATAGTAAGCTGAGAGTTCTATCTTGAACCATAAGCATGAAGCAGGAAGAGCAAACTGGAAGTAGGAAGGGCTTTTCAATCTCAGAGCCCACCCCCAGGGACACACTTCCTTGTGTGTCAGGAGCGGGGCTAACTGGGGTTCAAGTGTTCCAATCCTGAGACTAGGGAGGCCTTTTCTCACCCAAACCACCACAGCAGAGGAAGGCAAGACACACACCTCCAACCTCAAGGTCATGTTTCTGTAGAATCACACAAAAGGGGCATTCTATCACAACAGTCACATGTCATTACATCCCTGTTTTCCTTATGGGTTCCTGAGGCATCTACTGTCAGCCATCATTAGCTGACTCAGTCCCTTGGATATCTGCTGTCAGCCATGTTTTAGCTGACTCATGCCAGGCAGCCATATCAGTGCCACGTTGTCTGAACATAAAGTGGCACATTTAGCCGTCTGTTTCCTACATGAGGTGTCATGGCTTTTGAGCCAGGGATATAGAAAGAGCGTTGTGTATTTATAGCATCCCCTTCAGCCTTTTAAAGAGAGGGGTAGGCAGCAGGCAGGCCTGTGGGCCCAGGGGAGTGTATAGGAAGCTGAGAGGTTATTAAAATAAGCTGTTCTTCTCGGCTCATTCAACGGTAAAGTTGATGCTTCATGTTTTGAAACTCAGCAATGTGAATTTCCCACCCTTCCAGCCTTCACCCTGTGCCTTTTAGAAATCCCAACCAGAGAAGACAGGACTAATGCTGTTGGCTTCCATCTCTTATCTCTTTTACATTTCTGCTTTTAGAGTTGTCTTCATTTGGTGGGTGTCCCCCAGCCAGAAGGGAAATGCCGAATTGAATATAAACAAAGAACATGACATCCTTTGGGGCTCAAGAGGGTCAGAACCTTCTAGAAGAGTGAAGGCACCCAGCTACCACCCTCCCAGCATCTTGACATGAAGATGGCACATGCGTTTCAGATCTGAAGACCTTGCATCTGAGTTCACTGTTGGGAACTCAGAAAACCCAACTCAAGGTTCAGAGAAAGGGGTTCAAACTATTTTATTTATTTAAAAAATTATTTTTCGTTTTACGTACCAACCCCACTTTCCCATCCCTGCCTTTCTTCCCACCCTCCCCAACCATCGACTCCTCAGAGGGAAGAAGGCCTTCCTTGGGGAGTCAACAAAGTCTGGCATACCAAGTTGAGGCAGGACCAAGCCCCTCCCTTATGTATCAAGGCTGAAAAAGGTATCCCTCCATCGGGAATGGGCTCCCAAAAGCCAGGTCATGCCCCTCAAATGCTTTTTTAAAAAGTTGTTAAAAAGTTAGAATTTGGCTTCATATATAACCATATCAAAGTAGAAATGCCATTTGAATGGGAATATTGTTACATTAAATTTGCTGTGAAAGCAACATACTTAGAATTCTATTTTGCAAAAAAAAAAAAAAAAGAAAAAAAGAAAAAGAAAAAGAAAACTCCAATGTTTTGGAGTTTTGGACACTGAAAAGCTAAATGATGATTTCTAGACATTCTCTATTTTTAAAATGTGATTCTTAACTTGAAGTTTGAAATCTTAGGCTTATTAATGCCAATCACCACAGCCATGCCTAGCGCTGAGAAGTGTGGAGAAAACGATGGTAGTTTTAGGACACTTGTGGGGACTGGTTCCTGTGCTGCACTCATTCCTGCACAGGCAGAATCCCTCTGTAGCGGATAATCAGGACTCATTGATTCAGGTATCGATTGGTATTTTAATTAAGGGAGAAGCACTCTTTTGATTCAATGTGTCTTTAATTATAGTTCGATAAAGCAGTCTCCTTGCATCTTGTTCCGTGTTCGGTTGATAGCCCTGGGAGGCCTGCTCTTTTCTGAAGGGAAGTGGAGGAGCAGTGGATCTGAGGGCTGGAGGGGGGGCTGGGAGGAGATACTTTGGTCGGGATGTATTGCCTGAGAGATGAATAAATAAAAAGAAATGTATATCTGACATTGTATTGGATTAGTAAGTGCATGTGAGTCTGTTCCTTAAATCTCAGGACAGCGGAATATTTGCCTTAAATTCTGGAAAGAAAACCCAGCATGTCCATGGGAAAATACGATTCTCATAACAACAAACAATGGTGTCATCATTTATCCTCCAGATTCCAATAAAAGTTCTCTTCATCTCTGTTTCCGCTATGGCTCTGTAGTGCTTGCTGTTCTCCTGGCCTCTCCTCTTCCCTGTCCTGGCCCCAGCTTCTGAAGCTGGGAGTTCTTTAGTCATCTTTTCCTTACCAGCAAGGACTTGCAAGATGCAATTTAGTTCAACACTATGCAAATGTATGCAAATACAGCATTTCCTTGTGGGCCTTGGCTGTGGGGCAAATACGCCCCACATCTCTAGAAGACAAGTGAGTACTTTCAAGAATGTTCACTCTTTCTTTCTAGTGTGTGAATGGAGTTTTGAAGCTTAGCTGGCTGCTCAGGGCTTCTCTTAGCAGGCTTGGTGGTCTGGAGAAGTCCACAACGGCCCAGAGTGTTGCAACCACAGCCTGGTGGGTTCTGCTATAATAACAACTGTGTTCTGAGGGAAGGTGTATTCGCCCCATAGCCAAGGCCCTCTAGGAAATGCTGCATTTGCAAGCATTTGCATAAAGCTGAACTAAATTGCAGAGGCTGGTGCCTGCTTATTCTTGCTTCATATGGTCAATGTTAGCTAACATGTCTATGTACTTTAAGAAATATTGCAGACAAGGGAGTCTGTTAGTGTTTTGAATGATGAAAAGTTAGTATTTGGAGGCCCCATGTTTCTTTTATATATTGCTGGGTGTTTATATGATATATAATATTTTTGTATTAACTAGATTTTCCAGAAGGCAGAGCCTGAGACAGATTTGTATAAAGATAGTCTACTTGGGTAGCAGGAGACAGGGCACGGAGAGAATAAAACCAAGGCCTGTGTTAGCAGAATGTGTGTTGTAGCATCAATGGTCTATGAGGCAGGAGTGACTATGGGAACGTTAACCTGTGTATAGTTCAGCTTTTCGATCACCTTCAAAGTGGTGGCTGCCAAACAAAGACTTGTGGGTTTGACTAAAGTTGCCTTTATAACATTCAAAGATGTGCTTAAAGGTTTCTCCACTTTCGATGAACTCCAAACTCTAATCGTCTTCATAATCCGCCCTTAGAATGTTTTGCTGCATCTCAGCCAATTCTCAAGTGGCCAAGATAGGGCAGGTGTGAACTGTAGCCAGTTTCTCTTCCAGTTTCTGCACATGGCTGTCTTCTCTTTGGCTGCAAATGTAACATGCTGTGAAGTAGGGTACAGCAATCTGTAGTCTTCTATCCAGTGTTGCAAGTCAAACCAAGAGCTACAAAATCACATTTGTTGTAATTTTCTAACAATTTCAGAGCTGTTAGAACAGATGAGGGGCTTCCAACAGTGCTTGGTTTGACTTGTAACACTGGATAGAAGACTGAAGATTGGAATCCAGTTGCAGAGGAGGAGGAGTGATGAGCAAAGGGGTCAAGACCATGCTAGTGAAACCCACAGAAACAGCTGACCTGAACAAGAAGGAGTTCTTCGCCACTAGACTGATCACTGGGAAACCAGCATGGAACTGATCCAGACCCCATAAATGTGGGTGTCAGTGAGGAGGCCTTGGAAATATATGGGGCCTCTTGTAGTAGATCAGTACTTATCCGTAGTGTAGGCATGGACTTTGGGATCCCATTTTACATAGAGGGATACTCTCTCAGCCTAGACAAACCGGGAAGGGTCTAGGCCCTATCCCAAAGGATATGACAGACTCTGAAGACCCCCCCCCATGGAATGCCTCACTCTCCCGGGGGAGCAGAAATGGTATTGGATAGGGAGGGGGTTAGTGGGGGGCAGGGGAGGAGGGGAGGGAGAGGGAGAGGGGATTGACATGTAAAACAATCTTGTTTCTAATTTAAATTAAAAAAAAAAAGAACAGAGGAGGGGCCAAGAAGAAAGTGGTAAGAACTCCCTACAGTCCTTGAGGGATGCAGGAGCAGCTCCACTGACCCCTTTGGGCGTCTCTCTGTCTTACAGACTTGGTTCCATCATGGCATTGGTGCTATTTGCTTTGAGCACCAAATCTTTTTGGCTTCTGTCTTTTTGACTTTGTGAGTCTGATGTTCCAAGCACTGTGAAGCAATTGCTGACCATTGGAGGCCCTTGCAGAAACTGGAGTAGTTCCAAGATGCATTGAGACCCATGAATGGATTGGATCCAATTGCAGGCTTCTAATGAATGGCTAGATGAGACAGAAACTGGGAGTAAGTGCACTTACTGAAGGAAATACAAACCGTGGCCGTCCCAGACTTTGCAGAGATTTCATGTTCTAGCCTCTGTTTCTCCTGAACATGAAGCAATATGACAAATCTTAAAACCTGGCAAACCAGGAATGTTAAGGAAAACTATCAGATCTGCATCTGCCTGCATGGGATGTGTGTGCATGATTCTACAAAAATATATGAAAGAGCTTATATTAGTCACTTTTCTGTTGCTGTGATAAAACACCATGACCAAAGCAACTTATAGAAGGAAGAGTTTATTTTGGCTTGTGTTCCAGAGGGATGAGAGTCCACCATGTCAGGGAAGTCTGGCTGCCCTAGCAGGAAGCCGAGGGTTCATATCTTGAACAGCAAAGCAAAGCAGAGACAGTGAAAACTGGAAGTAGGGTGAGGTTATGAACTCTCAAAGCCCACCCCAAGTGACATACTTCCTCCAGCAATTGCTGTACCACTTCCCAAACAGTGCCACCAACTGGTAACCATGTTCAAGTACCTGAGCCCATGGAGAACATTTCTCATTCAAGCAGCACGGAGCACTGTTTTACTGACTTAAAGAAAAAAGCAAGTGTTTGAATCTAGTTATTTATTACAGACTTATAAATTAGATTTACTAGTTAAACAAGATTTACTATATCAATATTAGGGCCACAAAGATATATTAGGGTTTAGCAGAGGAGAAAAATGTATGAGAATGAATTCCTTCATGCCTCAGAGTAAAATGAGAGGAAAGCGATTTGTAAGTCTGACTGTTGGATTTAGTCTTTTTACCTCTGTTTGAATTTGATCATTGTTAGATGGGGTCTCCTTATAGTCCAGACTGGCTTGGAACTTACTATATAATAATGCTGGCTTTGAACTTGTGATCCTCCTGTGTCCACATCCCAAATCCAGGATTACAGGCATACACAATCATTCCTGGCTCCATTTATTCTTTTGATATTTGCTTGATTTGCCAATGAGCTGAGACTTTGGGACCAGCCACGGGGCTTCCTTAGCCCTTGAATTATGTATATTTGGTTGGGAACCTCTGGGATCTGGGGCCATTGGTCAAAGTGAGGCCTTGGGTCATGAATGTTTCTGTAGTACTAAGGCTGCCTGTTACCAGGTGAACCAGGCCTGGTATGGCCTCCTCCTTTTCCAAGTAGAATAGCCTCTTTCCTGCCCATGCTGGAAACTGTTGGGTTGGTTACTTTAGGCACCTTACCACAGCTTCTTGTACCTAGTCCTGGGTTTATCACCTGGTGTATGAGTCAAAGATGTAGCCAAACCCTTTCATTTTTATCCATCTTAGATACCATTTGAGGGCCTGAATCCCAGGATAACTGAAGAGTGAGGAGTACAGCAGGCATCTGTGCTGGTCTTCTCAAAAAACTAGAATAAGACTGGTTGATGGAGTTTTAGCTTGATTTCATTATTTTAAAAGAAAAAAAAAAGATGACATTTAACAGATGAGCATTGTTTCCCCAAAGCAATTCAAATTTAACCATCAAAAATGAGTAAATTGGGTAAACACAAATGGCATGAATATTTATAAATGAACACTTCATATTCCAGAAGTCTTTCTGGGAACTTAAAGCCTTGACATGAGGTGAAGTAATAGATATCCTTTGGGTGTCTGGGTTATTTCTCAGTAAGTTAAACTATTAAGGTGCTATTTATTAAATATAGGTTTTGTATTTTGACATCTTGCTTTTCTGTGGTTGAAAGTAGCTAACTATATTTCATGTTGTTAATTAAAGTAGGTCAAAGTACATAAAATAATGATTGTGAAGTGCCCATATTGAAATAGGACATCTATAACACACCCCTCCCCTCAAGGCTCAGAACATTGTGGAAGAAGGGGTAGAAAGACTGCAAAAGGACCCAGGAAGGCACTGCTGAGAACAGTCTCTTCTGGGTATGACAGGGATGCTGTGCCCAGTACTCTCAAAAGCTTTGGTTGCCTGGACAAGACCTGCACAAGATCAAACCAGTCATCATTCCAGCCAGGATGTGGGGAAGAGCTCTCAAGAACCTAGTCCTGGCTGAGGAGCCACAGGCAATTGCTTGCTGCAGTGGGGAGGGTCAGTTTTCTTCAGGGATATGCCCATTGTTAGGTTGCTCATGCTCCAGTGGTTATCCCTACACTTGTGTGCATATAGGCAAACTAATTGAGCCTGTGTAAAAAAAAGCAGCAAAAGAAGATGTAAATTTGAGAGGGCAGATATTGAAGAGACCTGGAAGGGTTGGAGGTAGGGGTAGTGACAGAAGGAAATGATCAAAATGTATTTGTGTATGAAATTCTCAAGTGAAAATAATACAAACAAAAATTGCTTTATTTGAAGAAAACATCTAAAAATTACCTCAAAACTGCTGATAGAGAACAGTTCAAAGTGCTTACAATTAGATTTTTCTCATAAGAAATTAAAGTTGCTACGAATGAAAATTCTAATTAGCCTACGAGAACTGAAACTAGAGCTATTGAAGGAAACAAGAAAACTAAGGTACTTTTGGCAAGGAATATTGTAAGAAAAGTCCATAAAATTATTCTAAGCCAAAGTATGTGTAGTATTCAATAAACCCAATAGATTATTTGAGCTTTTATATAGGCATTCTATTCAATTGCTATTTTTTTTGCTACAGGATTCCTAAATCTATAGGATTTTCCATGTGAGAAAGCAGTGGTAGTTTGAGAGAGAAAAGTCCTCAGAGGCTTGTGTATTTGAGCACTCAATTATCTAGCAGGTGGTGCTGTTTGTGGAGATTACGGAACCTTTAGGAGATGTAGCCTTCCCAGAGAAAGTGGATCACTGAAGGTGTGCTTTGAGAGTGTATAGTCGGGGGCGTTGGTGGCGCATGCCTTTAATCCCAGCACTCGGGAGGCAGAGGCAGGCG